TTCTAATGCGAGAATTTGGTGTCCTATAGGAATTTTTGGTTTGTTTTTCTTTTCACCAATAGACTTATCTGCTATACCTCATGCCGATTTGTTTGGGAGTTTTTGACCGGGTTACGATGCATCCGGGTTTTTGAAAGTCAATTTTTGTACGTTTGCTTTTAGACGTTTGTTTGGTTGGTGCTGGCTGCACTCGACAAACAAGGGTCTGGAGTACGTTGTATGTTATATCCGAGAGAGGTATTTTCAGACTTGGGAGGTTACGACAATCACATAGGGAAGGGGAAGGGGTGAGTTTGCCGTGACGAATTGAATGCAGGCATTAGCATCTGGGTTTCACTTGTTGTTGTAACCATAGGACCCTCTCTTATCGGTCCATATGATTGCATAGCGAAGAACTCGCCTTACTTAATAAAAACACAGGGCATCCAGTGCAATATACTAAGAGAGTGGCCAGTATTCAAGTACCGTAGTTAGCGGAAGTTGTATCACAGTCCGACCGTGAAATAAGGCATATTTGAAGGGCTGACGTTTAAGTAACCGATGCGAAATAGAAGGTGATCGTAGAAATGTCAGGTTTTAGTAATTAACTCCTCAAAGCGCAACTCCTCAGACGCAACTGACGCGCACCCAAACAAACTCACCAAGTTTTCCCCATTCTGACCTCAACCAACAGTGGCTTGACCTCAATCCGTCCAATGGGATCCACGCTTTAGTAGACTGACCTCATTTAGTAGATTGGCCTCAATCCGTGGGACAAAGACAACAATGCGGTGTCTGCCTTCTTGCCCCACTCCGGATCCGACCCGACTAGGGAACGGTTGCACTAGTCCGCGATTCAAAACTCTTTCCATCTATTCTCCTATCCTTCTGCAGAATACTCTATTCCTAACAATCCGGCCTTCCCAAGACTTCTTCCATCTCCTAAGAAACCGGGCCTGGAAGATTGTAGCTGTTAGGGTTAACCGTCTTAGCCTTAACTCTTATAGATTAACTTTCAAACACGAAGCTGGCCTGCATGCATCACCGCGCAGAAAAGTTGACATCAACTAGCGTTACCTGCAGTTGCTTCCTCATGCACTGTATGCTTCGAGATTATTATCTACATAAACTGAGTGCATTTAGTAGGAACATTAAATCATCATTTTATGTACAGTGGAAGTCTGGACGTTTTCTTCCATTTCAGGCAGAAGAATAAAAATGTCGAAAAATAATTCAGTTTCTTCATACAGACTATGTGCAAGGAGAATTCCTACATTTATAGGGCAATGGCGGTTGGTCAAGAGGCTTTCTTAATAGCCATCCCGAAGCTTGACAGATCAGTAGTCGCCGCCAGCGCTTCTTGGGCCCCATGATCAACTGCAGGTGAGTGACCGCCGCATGCTGACTCATTGTTCCCAACTGCCGCTGACATCATGCCTTTGGGACCAGACGCAAACCTGCGTGCCTTGCCATCCCAGCCTGACCACAATCCATCCAAGAAGACTAACCTCATTAGTAGGTTGACCTCCACCTGCCTGGACAGACCTCAACGCAGTGACTGCCAGTAGACATCACTTCGAGCCACGCCGCTCTAGTTGAAGGGCGTGTGCTCCAACAGCCAACTCTCCTACAAATTATTATTCTATCCCTCTGAAGAATAAACTCTCCCTACTACAGTAGTCTCTGGTTATTAAGCCCAGGATTAATAGGCCTATAGGAGTTAAGGTTAAGACGGTTAACCCTAACAGCTACAATCATTCA